ATCGTTATATAATGTTACATATTAATAATTTGAACGATAAATTTACGAGAGAAATAGGATACAGTTAAAGCTATTATCAAAAGATGGGATAAAAAATGAAATAGGATTGTTAAATAATAAGTAAAGGTAAAATGATCTGATCACGCCAAATAAGTCGTTACGCATAATAAAAAAATTTTGTCGCTATCTAATGACTGGTTTAAACAATATGATACAATAAAATTTAAGTAGCAATCGAAATAAAAATGGTATTTAAATTAACAATACAACTAGTAACAACCATCTAAACAAAGGTGTAAGTGCTTGTTTGGTATAAGGGATAAAAGATATTTATTAAATAAGATTAGGAATATTTTAAAATTTGGGTGGGTTATTTTAATTCAATTTTGGTTCAAAAATTTGATTTGTTTCCATTAAAAAAATTAATGACGTGGCCGAATTATAATTGACCACGTATCAAAAATAATTTTGCAAAACCACTATTAAAAAATAATGGCATGAATGAGCCTTTTCTTAAATGGTAATGACATAGATGGACCAAACTTTTAACGAATGACGAAAGTTCGATGACATATTTGAGTCTTTTCAAAAATATAAAATCATATTGGTTGCAAAAAGAAAAAAAAAAGAAACTTTCACATATAGCCACTTAAAAATAATGAATTACTCTATATAGTTATAGTTTGATGATTACAATTTGTAGCTACATGTTATACGGATGAGGGAGGCGAGCGAGACTGGGAGAGAGAGGAGAGAGGTGAGAGACAGAGGGGAAAGAGCGGGAGAAAGGTGAATTGTATATGTATATTGGTTAGATAAGTGTATATTATACATATGTATTTGTATAAATGGCAAGAGAGATTGGGAGAGGGAGGAGAGAGGCGAGCGAGAGAGTTTAGAGAGGGGGAGAGAGGTGAATTGCATATGTATATAATTTAATATAACTGTATATTATACATATGCATATGTATATATGGCAAGAGAGATTGGGAAAGGGAGGAGAGAGGTGAATCGTATATGTATATAGATTAAATAATTGTATATTATACATATGTATTTGTATATTGTGAAAAATTATACATATACAAACTTGACTAATTATATAAAGTCGAAGTCAACCCACGTAATTAATATATAATGTTAGCCGCTAATGATAATTATAGCAAACTGTAACTATAATGAGTATTTAAATAATATATGTTTACTTAGCCGCGTAATTCTCCCAAAAAAGAACACGTTGGCCTGATTAGATTGAAGACAGGCCCAATGGACTTCAAACTCAAAGCCCAAAAGCTATTAGTGGGTTATAACTTATAATAGATCCAATTACTGACTGATATTAGCTCCGATTTGAAATTGCTCGGCGCGTTTAGACCACTCTCCGCCGCCGGCGAGCTTCCTCCTTTCCGTCTCCTTCTCCGGCAAATCAAGTGGTAAGTTCCTCCTTTGTCTCTTGCTGTATTCATTTTTCTCTCACTAGGCAAAAATCCTAATCCATTTAATTTCCCGATAATAAGCTCCGAATTGTAAATTGAATTGCAATACTCTCCATGTATATTGTTCCTTGTGCTTTAGTTTCGCTGGTGTGAAGTATAGCTGCATAAGTGTTGTGTTAGGTTGACGGTCAGGCTAAAATAGTCTAACTGTATGAGTACTGAAAACTGAGTCCCTTGGAGCTGAGTGTATTCATAGTTAACTGAAAGTTTGAAGATGTGAGGTGCACTGATCTGTTTTTAGTAGTAGTAATCAATTACTGTGAACTCTGTGGTTCTCCAGTGACTAGGAAATCAGCTGTTATTTCAGTTTTATTCGATAATGGCTTGTTCAAAGTTACATCAATCTGCATTTGAGTGTTGATTATTTTTCTGTGTTGTCCTATAAAGTTAATTTGTAAATGATTTGGGACAAAAGATGGAATTCTTTATCCTCGTATCGCGAGTACAGTCCTTTGGGACAGTCATATGTTTTGAATCATGTACCAGATCCTTCTAGTTGTTAGAGAAATTTGGATTTTTGGCCATCAGAAATTTTAGCTATTTCGATATCAACCAGTCTAATATATCCTTGAAAGCAGAATCAGTTCATCCAGATGGGTCGTTGTGTCTTGTTTAGTATTCTGGAGAACATGATAATTACTATTTCTTGTTATGCATAACTTTCTACCCAATTTTGTTTAACATTTGTAGAATGCTTCATCAGTCGCTCCTCTCTATTAGGATAGACTCACAGTCACAGAAAATAACAGTCTATTATCACTTGTAACTATATTATCTTCCTACGCATTTTGAACTCTTGTTTACTGTGCGTGTATATTCCTCAGGGAAACAAATTTCTGCCACTCAATATTGATTGTTCTTGCTCTATTAAGGTATCAGAGTCTTCTCCTGGTCAAACACCTAACATGTCAACTACCACAAATTTTTCTCCCTCCGCTCCCCTCATTCCAAAGCCAAATTATTCGTCCTCAAATCCAACTTTGATCTTTGGGTTCAACAGGATCAGTTGATCATGTGTCTTTTAATATCATCCCTCACTGAAATCTTTATGTCATAAAAAAAAATCTTATTCCTTACTGATGAAAAACTACCTTTGGAGTTCGCATTTCCATGTCCAAACAGAGTTGGGTACCCTTGAACACTCTCTTTCTTCACCGTCCAAGAAAAGAATTCTTAATTTGCTCATGAAACTTCAAATTATCAAGCAAGGCAACCTTGGTCTTGCTCAAACCTCCAAAAAGAAAAAAAATTGTGTGATGAACTTGCAGCAGCAGGAAGAACTTCCTACGAGTAACATATACTAGAGATATACTTGGTAACTCTGCCTACCGAAGTTAGGACATAAGAGAAGAAATCACCTAGTGTTTTTGTCTCAGCTGAGATTTGAACATGAGACCTCATGGTTCTCAAACATTTCATTATCTCAACTAGAATAAATGTGGTTGAGGAGTAAAGTGACTGAAGAATCTAGAGAGACCACAAAGATTAATAACCTAATGCACCAAGGAGCTTAACGAAAGGGGAGGGGAGAGCAAAAGTGCAGGAATGCAGTCGTTTTACCTTGTCATATGCTTAATTTACTATTGTTGGGGTTCATACTTTATTTTCTGTGGGCCAAATACAACTATTTATTAGTTGCATATCCTGAAGCTGATGCATCGGCTAAGTGTTCATCTCTAACATACATTATTATTTGTTATCTTCAGTGTCAGGCTTGGTGAATGACAAGATGAACACTGCAACATCATTATTTAGGAGGTTAAATATCAAAGATCTGGTATCAAGAACACCTACATATAGTGCCCCTAGTGGTATGTATTTCATTGTGCTCTTTCATGAAGCATTGGCTTTCAAAATAGAATTGTTTGATGAACTGATTCAGTTTTAAAAATCTAATTAAAAAAAGAACGGTTAGACTTTGTTCTCTGCAGGGAGCTGATTTATATTTCTTTTCACTTTGTACTCTTTCTGCATCTACTAGATGCCATCAATTACTTCATCAAACAAAAAGTTTGTGCAAAAGCTCAAACAAATGACACTAACAAGCTTTGAATTTTCTGATCTATGTTTTGCTTGTGACAACTTCAGATGTATCTGGGGATGGATTGAGCTTGATGTTTAAACGTTGGGCTACGAAAAAGACAGCAGGATCCACAAAGAATGGCCGTGATTCAAAACCAAAGAATCTAGGGGTGAAGAAATTTGGTGGAGAGGTAAGGATTCTCTTCGTTGATTACATACAGACAATGGAATTATGTCGTTGAAAGAAATTTTGACAAAACCATTGTGCACCACGCATGCCTTCAAGGCAATTCCTTGCGCTCTTCAGTCTTCTTATTATAATACCGATTTTTGGATGCAGAGAGTTATACCTGGTAATATCATTGTTCGTCAAAGGGGAACCAGATTCCATCCTGGAAACTACGTTGGGATAGGGAAAGACCACACACTCTATGCTCTGAAAGAAGGTTGTGTAAAGTTTGAGCACCACAAGTTGAGTGGTCGCAAGTGGGTTCATGTTGAGCCCAAGGATGGCCATGTACTTCACCCAGTTTACTCGAGTACTGGAGCTCCCGAGCTCAACACAGCAGCTTAAGCTTCTCTAACCGTTGAGTCATTCATGGAGCACGAGTATAATAACGAAAACGATCTGAGATCATTTCAGAAAGCAACCCAGCCCCTCTAGATTAAAGCTAATGAAACAAAGTTATTTTTGCCTTGTATTCTCTAGTTCATATTTTCACTTGTTTTGAATCAATGCACTTATTGTTACTGGTAAAGTGCAAAATAGTTCAGTTCGATGAGCTAAAAGAAATAAATAGCATCATCTGCGTTACGCGCATTCGTGTACGTTACCAACATGGGTTGTGATATAGTGGTGAAACTGTTTCACTCTTAATTACAGGTTGCGGACTCGTATATGCTAAATGAAAAACAAATAGAAGGGAACAATAAGGACTGTAGAAGTTAAGGAGCACCACATTTTGTTGGGCATACAGTAGGGATTTAGCTCCTTCCATTCATTTTTTATTCAGAATATTTTAAAAATAGATACTCATTTTTATTTGTTAAATTTAATATATTAAAAAAAAAATTTGTTGTCAATATTAATTATTTATACCTCAAAGTTCTTGTTAAGATTAAAACTTAGTCACGTTTCGCATTTCAAAAATTAAGAACTTTATTTTAAGATGTATTTTTTAATTTTATTAATATAAAAGTAATTGTTTTGCATAATCTTCGAATATCAAAATTTAAAATATTGAGTTAGTGAGTGTAATTTGAATTTGAAAATTAGTTGAGCTGATTTTCGTAAAATTTTATGTGACGAATAAAAATAAACAGATGTATAATAGTAAATTTTTTAATATTTTTCATAAAATTTTGTGTGACGAGTAAAAGTAAATAGATGTATGGTAGTAAAAATTTTTATTATATTTTTAGAAATACGTGAACAAGTAAAAATGAACGAAAACGAGAATATTTAATAAGAGTGGTAATAATTGGGAGAGAAGAAAGGGGAAGAAAGGGTTGTTTTCATTGGGATTTATTTTGTCAAAGAAGGGTCAAAAGGAAGGCAAAAATTAGCAGCAGCCATCAATATTCAATCTTTCTTGTGCATTGTGTGTTAGGTTTGGATTCTTTTACATGTTGCGGTTGTGGAAATGGTACCAAAATTGCTTGGCTTTACATCCGGTGAAGACTCAGGTCATCAGCTCCGGTCTTATATGGGGTCTCGGCGATGTATCTGCTCAAGCCGTCACTCATTATACAGCAAAGAAACACCATCATCTTCATTCTGTAAGTTTTTCCCTTTTTTGGTGTATTGGGGTTGTTTTCTTGTCAATTTAGCATATGGGGTTTTGGAATAAGGGGTAAAGATTGAATTTTTGGAGGAATAAAGCGGCATATGATTCATTATTTCTCGTGTGTGTATTAGTACATGGATTTTTTGGTGATCTGGTAGTTAGTTTGGACTTTAGTATGTGGATTTTCTTGGAGTTGTTAGGAAGGAAAGAGTAACAACAACCTTGTATGTTTGGTATTTGTATGAGTCCTAGCTTGGTGCCCCTTTAGAAGAGAAATCCAAATAAAGCAAAATTTATATGATTTATAAAACCGACCTGACTAGTTTGAGAGGAAGATATGGTTGTTGTTTTTTAAGTTGAGGGATAAAGAGGGTGATGGTTGACTATGTTGCTCCGACTCTCTAAAATTGTTGCTGCACCCATGTTAACTATGTTGCTCCGGCTCTCCGAAATTGTTGCTGCACCCATAAGATATAGTTGTTGTTTTTCCTGTTGAGGGATAAAGAGGTGATGGTTGACTATGTTGGTTGGACTATCAAAAATTGTTGCTGCACTTGTGTTGCATTCTTCGAAATGCACTATTTATGGAGTATCTAACAAGCATCCATCGACGTGTTTGGAGAGTCTGAGCAACATTGATGGTCGAATCGTAGTGGGAGGAGTTTAGATCTCAATTGTTCCGTACCCTGTTTTCCAGTTTGGACTTATTTATCTGTACCCTAAGGACCTAAGAGTAGTTGGACCAACAAAAGACTATTCTTATCATCTAGAGTTATTTAAATAGCATCATCGACCAATGAGTAGTATAAAATTGACATGCTAGCACTTTGTATATTCTGCAGCCTCCTACCATCTTGCTACAACATTTTTGTTGCTTCTTTTTTGATTTTGTGGCTAGCTCTAGGTTCTAACTTTTATTATGTAATGGAGCTGGCATATCTACTTTGGTACTCTTTGCATCTTCTTGATGCTGGTAATGAAACAACTTACTTCATAAAAAACATATTTTTGTTGCTTCTACCAATGTTTGGTTGAAGGAGGGAGCAGGGAAGGGTAAAGGAACGGGGCTAAACAATTTTACTTCCCTTGTGTTTATCCCACTCTCCGAGGTGTTTGGAAATGTGATTTCAACATCCTCCATTCTTCTTCTATTACTTCCTAACAAAACATGCCATTTTTCTTTTACCCTTCCTCTTTTATCTTCTGTCCTATTGCTACTCCTCTTTCATCTGAGCTTACTAATAATCTTTATAAGTGCTAAACTTTGAGTTTGTTTTGCGTGAGGCATGCAGTTTTCACTTTATTTAATAATCAGAAAATCTCTTTCCCTTGGGCCTTGACAACCTTATAACGAAACCCCAAGATACGGGTTTACAATCCTTTTAAATTACAAGTTGAGGACACATTCTTTGTATTGATTATTATTTTACTATTAGTGATTAATTCATCCACAGAATGATAAAATCGGAACGATATAGAGAAGATTAGGATAATCACTTCAAAATTTCTTGGTCCAAATTTTGCTCATAGATACATTTCTGATAAAAAAAAAGTTCAAAATGAAATATTGACTAGATCCCCTTCAGGAAAAATATTGACGAGGTAAAATATTTAATTTCTTCTATATTCCTCATTTATTGAGTGGAAATGATGTGAACTGCAGATCGGAATTTCTGAAGTTTAATTTGTCAAAGGTATTACTCAGAAGAACTTTCATTGTTGTTCAACTCGTAAATGAAAAAGGCTGGTCGTATCCACGTTCATTGTTTTTGGCCCTCCCATAAAGAATGTTTAGGAGGGTACTTTTTGATAGTTCATCAGCTTAATTGAAGAACAGTGAATTTGGAAGAATTTGCAAAATATAACTGTAAAACAAACAACATTCAGTGGACTGAAAAACTACAATTTAGTTAAATATATATAAAGCTTAAGCCGGTGTCAAACTTACTTAAAACCCTTGTAAATTCGGATTCACATACAACGATACAGTTCTAAGTTTAAATACATATAAGGTGAACCATGTCAACTAAACTGAAAACCGTTGAAAATTTGGATTCACATACAACAATACATTTTAAGTTTCTAATATAGAGTTCACGACCAGTTTTGTCGTCCTTTCTCGGGATATCCAACTTAATTACTAGTTTTCCTTTACACTCTAATTTTTTATTCTTACACACTAACCTTGTTATTTATGTAATAATTAAACACTTTGGTGCTATATTTTATTGTTTGGTGTTGCCTTTTCAAAACAGGAAATTAATTATTTTAAAACTAGTAATTAATTTCCAACTTAATTACTAGTTTTCCTTTACATTCTAATTTCCTATTCTTACACACTAACCTTGTTATTTATGTAATAATTAAACACTTTGCTGCTATATTTTGTTGTTTGGTGTTGCCTTTTTCATAACAGGGCATACAAGCTTCATGGTTTAACCGTTTAACCTAATTTCCTTTTGTAAAAAAGCAATAATGGGCTGATTTTTATTGCATCACACACCTTACCTTTTGATGTGTGCACTGGAGCTCTGCCTTAGCAAGATGAAGCAGCTAGTATAAATAACAGCTAGCTAGGTCAATCCCACTTTTAACAACTCTGAGTTTTGCTGAGGAGTGCAATGCTGATTCAGAATTTTCTTATTATGCATGTTAGATAAGTGGTTGAGTGTTTCTGTTTCAATTAACAGAAAAGAAACAAAATGAAGGACTAACCGTTTTTCGTGCATTACTGATACACAACTATTTCCTCTGTTTCAATTTGTTTGGCTTGATTCGGAGTATGAGCGTCAAATTAACTAATATTTGGAGAGAATTCGGACATATAATCTTCAACTTTTTTTTTTGAAATAAAACTTTCATATTAGAATTACATTATAAGTTCTATGAGTCATAATAGTTAACTAATCAAAAGTATTTAGTAAGTATGATCAAAGAAAACATCCTTTGATTGTCCAAATATTAACTACGACAGACAAATTGAAACAGAGGGAGTATCATTTACTCAATGTTTGCTTGTCAAAGGGGGAAGGTCAATTTTCTTTGTAAGTTCTTTCTTCCCCCTCCCCCCATTCTTTTTGTCCTTCGCTACAATCTTTGTTAGTTCTCGTGATTGCTGAAATCTGGACAGATCTGATCCCTTTCTATTTTAATTGTACTGAAGTTGTTTGCATGAATCTACTCTTTAAAAATTTAGGCAGTCTGATTTTCTTGTAATAGCCGTGTTAGCCCTTTTGGACTGCCTCTGATATTATTTATTGGGAAATGTTGTTCTTAACTGCAGAATGAAAATAAAGAATTTGCAATCAACTGGAGACGAGTTGCCACAACGAGCTTGTTCGGCTTTGCATTTGTTGGACCCGTTGGCCACTTCTGGTAGATCTTTCTTTATTCATTTGCTTCTATGTAGGTCACTGGTTTGCCACCCTTCACGGAGGACCTTGTTTTTGTCTTTGATTAGCAGTATCCTTTGATTAGTAATTACTTCATGGGGTGCATTTCTTTTCAAGGGGTTGTCTCATGTCTGGCATACTGGCATTTCTGTCACAGTTATCAAATGTTCTCTGTATTAAGAATTTACTTGTTTCCTATATCAAATCAGTAAAAGATGTAGTCTCAAATTTAGCTGGACCTTTGGCCTTCACAACTATCCTCTTGAGGTTTCTCAAAATGGGGCCTTGATGTGAATCAATTTTAATCTAGAATCTTTATATATTAGAAAACCTCAGCAACTAACTAGTAATTTTGAGGTCAATTTCATACTTGCTGCTATACTTTGTTCAACAATTTCTTGCTGCATAACCTTTCAGTAATGCCACAGAGGGGTGTACTCTTATTTTGGCTCTTATATGTGTTGCTATGGTTGAACCTTATTTTAAATAAGAAATTTTGGATAGATTTCTTATCTTGGCTTTTGATAAAATGAGCTTCCTGCAACTTTACGTTGGTTAGCAGTAAGATTTTTTCGTTTTAGCAGTAATTGCATATTGGAATTATGTCTTCCTTCGCATCTATCTCTTTAAAGCTTTGGTCAAAGAAGGATTAGAACGTTATTGTGGCTCGTTGATATATCTTCATTTCTTCTCTTTGAGGACCACAATCAAAATGTCTAATCCATTGATTTATGTCACGTCATTGAAGTAAAATGTAGTGGATTTTGGATCCATTTGAACATTTAATAGATAAATACCGGAGTTTTAGTTTAGATTTAGTACCTTGTGGTATCGTGCTCTTAATTATGCAGTTTTTTAAGGTTTAAATTCTCTCTTAATCTCTGGATGCTCATAGATTTAACTAGTACTGAGACTTGTGCCCTCTTCCTCCCTTTAGTCTGTTTGACTAAATTTATTTGAAGACTTGGCATAACATGATCCAAATCAGAGTCAGACTGAGACTAAGTCTTTTCCTGATATTGGATTCTCCTGCCAAATAAACTGTCATTAGTTTGTTAAATCAGGGTCAGACTGAGACGAATTCTATTCCTGATATTGGATTTCCTGCCAAATAAAATTTCACTAGTTTATTTAGTAGTAGAACCGACAGGCGTAAGTACTTGAATTTGTGGTGACAAAAGCTTTACTGACAATATGCAAAACCAAATAAAAAGGATTTATTGGAATTATGTCTCTTGTAGAGTGATGTTATGTTTTGTTACAATGTGCATTGGGAACTAACTTTTTGATGTGCTAGAGCATTAAATTACTGTTATGTTGTGACAACTGGAAGTAATATTCTCGAGTTATAATTGAAACGGCTGCAGATAATTTTTACTTCTGTAATGTTTGGGGTGAATGGATCTGACTGTATTATCTGTTTAGGTATGAAGGGTTGGATCGCGTCATAAGACTGAGATTTCAAATGCAACCTAAATCCCTGCGGTTTGTTGCTACAAAAGTAGCACTTGATGGTATAATCTTTGGGCCCCTGGATTTACTCGTCTTCTTCACATACATGGGTTACTCCACTGGCAAAAATACTGCTCAAGTTATTGAAGGTGTGAAGAGAGATTTTCTTCCGGCCTTAATACTAGAGGGAGGTATATGGCCTATTGTCCAGGTGGCCAACTTCCGCTACATACCAGTTAGGTATCAGCTCCTTTACGTCAATTTCTTCTGCTTGCTTGATAGCTCGTTCCTTTCATGGATTGAACAGCAAGAAGATGCTGCATGGAAGCAATGGTTGAAAAACATTGTGCGCTTAAAGGAACAAAAGGAGTAAGGTAGATGATTTCCTTATCTCACTAGTGATACGCCTTGGATTTGTTAATCGGGAATAGTGATATTAATTATAGAGACATGTGAAGTATTTACAGGAATCTTGGAGAGTGTCGATTTGGAAATTGGTAGTTCGATTCAGTAAAAGTGATAGCACTTTGTCAAGCTACTCTATAATCCATTGAAGCTTAACATAGCTATTATGGTCCCATCTGTATCCACTCTACATTTTGATTGATACTGTTCTCCTTAGTCCCACCCCCCTCCTTGCTCCAGCCTCATATTTGACATTTGAGGTTAATTTTGAGAATGACATTTTCCTTTTTATTGAGAAATTGAATTCGATTTGCTATCAAGCACTGATATCTGTTGTCTTTGTTAATGTTATATTTTGTTCTTGGATGAACTGTGATGGGCATGGCTGAGGTTGAGCAATATGTTGTCCGATTTTCGGTCTTACGGGACTGTATCTGGTAATCTTGGCCATGAATAGGGAAATGTAGCCAAAATGTAAGATGATAACATGTTGTTGTCCTTTGTAATGGCATATTTCCATGCTTCAAAGAAATAATTGTACTACTACTACTACATACTGACAATAATTTGAACATTCTACACTCAAATCATTATAAAACCACTTGTAAATTATACTTGAGATATTGCAAACTGAAAAATTTCATAATATCGAAGTAAGATGGTTTTACAGACTCTTTGAAGTTAAAATGAATCACTACAACCCCTCAATAAACTATACATAGTTTTAGCATTAAAGTTACACCCAAAAACATGCTACAGAAGAGGTGAATTAACATCCATCTGTAACACTTCCTCCTGTTCCACAAAATTTTCAGAACTTGCATCTGCAGGGACAATTCACTTCATAAATATTTGCAGTAACAAACTATATACAAAAAAGGAAGTTATAACAACGTGCAGACACTCGCGCTCACTCTTGCTTCAACGGGATGAGTCAGTCAACTGAGTACAACAATCTGCTCATCAACACTTACTTACAAATGAACAAGGAACTTGACGTAAACTTACTTCTGCAAAATGAAGTTAATAACGTAGTACCCAAACGTCCAAATACACAACAAAAGGAGCGATGGATAGCAAGAGGAACAATCTTTATGGTTACTAGTAAATATGCAGAACAAGAAGTGTGATGCAAAAGATAATTAAGCAAAGCATAGCCTTCAGAAAGTCAAAATCTGTGGGGGCACATGTTAAAATTATACCTTCCATGTCTAAAACAGAAGGTGCAGCTACAAATGTCATCTGGATTCTCTTTGAGTAGTTGGTATTACCGTGGGGGGTATGAAGGTGGGTATGCAGGCGCCGTAGGAGTGAGAGTATAATCATATGCACTATAAACAGCCTCCCCTCCATATGATCCATGATAACTCCGCACTCCACTAACTCCAGCTTCTTGAAGTGCATATCCATATTGTGGAGCAAGTATAGCCGGACTTTGGGTGTGAGTACCGCTATAAGCTGGAGCGTATGAGACCGAGCTAGGTGCCTCATATACACTCTGGCTGGTGTAGCTGTGTGCCCCTGTATACCTAATTGGTGGAGCCTGATGTGATTGAGGAGGATTCCTGGAGCGGAAAGGTGTGGCATTTGACGATCTTCCAGATTTAACAGGCCGAGAAGTGGACGGGCCACTGGACCTGCCAGTGCCACCTCCACGACCCCGCTTTTTTGAAGGCTTGCTCTCAGGAGTTGTGCCTATTTTCTTTTTTGCCTTGGCCTGCTCCAACTCAGTCACCCGTTGTTTGAGTCCTTCCAAAGTAAATTCTTGTTCAAGCTTGTGATCTTCCACACATTTTATTAAAGCCTTAGTAGCTTCCAACTCTATGCTGTTAGCTTTCTCCTGAGAAATAACTCAGTCTTATCGAATACTGACAAACAAATATATAAAACACAGAGGGAAGACATAAAGAACAATAGAACAGATTCATGAAGTAGACACAGGAATAACTGAGTATCTCACAAAGGATTTACAGCAGAAGGCACTTGGACAATTTTGAGGTGGTGCTTACCGTCTACGGTGCGTACCCTCCTTTTACAATTTACCGACAAAATAAACTTTTTTATGGAAATAATAGTTTGTCTCCCCTACTGTCCCCCCCCCCCGGCCACACCCCTATCCCCTTAAGTTTGTCCCCATATGGCCGTTCCATTGGACAGCCTAAATCTATATGTTGTCCTCCATAACGATTAAAAGAATGACATTAATTACTTCTAGAAGTCATCAAATTAATCTGCAATCTTCCAGCAATTGATTTAGCTTAAAACTGAGAAGGGAAAAAAATGCAGAGAAAGGAAATGAACAGAGAATTCATTCTCCCTTCCTTGGATGCAGGGGATTCACTCCTCTACTTATCTACGTAACATAATAATATGCTTGAATATTACTTTGTCATCCGGGAGAAAAAGAAATTAAAAGAATGAAAACAGACAGGCAACCACAGTGAAGGAGAAAAGGGAAGCTGGACGAATATACACACCACTGCAGCTGGACTAAATTTTCCCTTCTTTGATATGTTATTAGCATTTCTTCTGCAGTTCCTGAGAGATAACTTAAGAAGTGAGAGCGGAGGGTATCTCTCTGATAATCCAGACTCTGTAGCAAAATAAACTGCTTCAACCTCTTTGCCGCTCTTCAAGAGCTCTTCAATAATATCTGATCAAAAGGGAAGGATAAATAGTCATCATTCCCTATTGTAACGAATGCAAGTTAAATATTCAAGCTCATGGCCCAAGCAAATAGCTGGATCAGCCAACTTCTGATTCCAAACTTAAACAGGTCCTAGAAAAGTTACTCTACCTCTTTTCCACCACACACAAATTCAGACAACATTTAATAATTTACAGATTCGAAGTGATGAAACTCAGATCTTATCATATTCTAATGTTTTTCTAATTCAGTATTTTTTGTCAACAACACTAATGTAATCAGAAAGTCAATTGGAGTAGAACTCACTTTCTGTGCTCATATTTTATGCCGACAACTGCAGAAATTAGAATCAAGAAAATCTTCATGCACAAGTTTAAAAGTAAAGTGCAAGTGTCAACCATTCATATATTTTTTTATATATAAAAGTAATTTGATTTATATTTGGACACAAAAAAAACCTGAAAACAAGAACTATACCAAAAAGTAGAAAACCTAAAAATATATAGGGTAAAAAATCTGCATTATATATTGCAGTTGCTAGCAAAACACTAAATAGGTCCTTTTCCAATTTGAATATTTTCCAGAGCAAGGTAAGAGAAGTATCTTAAACCAAATACTATATCTTATCACATCAATCCAGTTTACGTTTCTCTAGCCAACTGTATTCAAATTTTGTAATGCCTATATGGAGGATATTGGAAATCAAAGTTTTCTATGACATTAATTCCACAGATAATAGCAACTACCTACCTCCTATTTTGTTACCAAATCCAAAGGCAACGGCAAGCTTTGGCATATCTTTCCTGTTAGCAAACTCCAGCACCAGCTTCCTAAGGAACTTCTCCTCAAACCTCTCTTTTAGCGCAAATGCGATAACCAACTGCAAAAACATTGTTGCTTCAGCAGCGCAAACTCCACTGTTTCTGTCCCCACCGCCCAAAACTCCCTTCCACTTCTCCAACACCCTTGCTGCCCTCTCCTTCAAACTCCTCCCTGCACCATAACCCCCTTCCACAACTGGCACAACTGACTGAATTAACATATCACAAGCCCACCTCCTATCTGCCAGTATCGCCTTCTTCTCTACCTTCCTCCCCACAAACTCCTCTGCTGCATCCAATATCAACCTGAAGGACCCAGCAAAAAGAATGATAATAATAAGATGACCAAAAACACCTGACGTACAATATGAGCTTCAAAGTCTCTACTTTGCTTTGACAAATGCAGTGATAACTCTGATTCTGACCAAACCTTCTCCTTCCCCGTCTCCAAACCCAAAAAAAGAACAAAAAACAAACATAGAAACCCTATAATATGCATAACTGTGAAAGCCAAGGAAAGTGTTACAGTAGGAAGAAAATCTTCTAGGTGTTTAATTTTAATTACTTCTCCAATAAAATAAATATTTTAAGTCAAAGGATAAAGAAAAAGTTCCTAAAGACTTCTATAAGACAAAACGACAAATGGATAACTTCCTCAGACTATTCAACAACTGAGAGTCGAGCAACCAAGAGCTATTAATCCAGATCACTGTTGTTTAGCTCATCCTTTTATGTTCCAACACATGCATTGGCTCATTTGGAAATATTGCGTTGCCTTGCATGTTTGTGTTGAAGATGCAACATAATTTTAGAACTGTAAATTGGAATATTTCCATCTTTTAGTATCTGGATCTCCTTCTTGAGGCACACCCATATCTAGAGAGTCTACGACAAACTTTTTTTTAACAATGGAGTGTACGACAAACTATTACTCTTTATTTCATAAAACTCCTTTCACAGTCTATTGATTTTTATTCAACGCCATAATTCCTTTCTTGATATTTAATAGAATTGCTATAAACTATTGCCTTTGTCCTAGTGCCAATTATTTACCATATCACAAAAAGGTAACTACAAAAACCAAAAATAAGTGTGTGAATGCAGATGCTAATTCATCATATAAGCAGTCGGTGCAATCTATCAGCATAGTATATATGTATGTGGGTGCAAAAATTTAAAGACAACCCAACCATGATTATAGGGTCAATTAAGTCCCTAGGATTAATGTCGAATCAATTGGGAATAACCTTAAAGTGATCATTTGACAATTCTATTTGGTACATATGCATCAATTTTTCCCTGATACCTTCGATGGAGTGGAGAAGCTTATGTAAATGTGCTGACATGAACATAAGCTTCTGCTTTATGTCTTTGAATACAGTAGGATGGACTTAAAATTTATGTCAAGCATCTTGGAAGTTACAAGTTACAATCTTTTTTTGGTTCATGATTTGTGAGACATGTTACCATTATGTAATGAAGTGAGTGATCCCTTAAGTTCTTTAAATGTCATTTCACTGCTTAGCTTATCGGGAGCAAGAATCACTTGTTAGATTCTAGAATGAAATGGTTTCACTTTATAAAAAAACACTCTTAGGCATTAGAGTGCTGAAAATATCTCCTGTTAGTTACCAACTGTTTACTGATCTTTGATATAAAGAATATTAGTCTGAATTATTATCCTTACACCTAGTTTGGATGGTTGTTACCCATTGTATTGAATTGTATTGTTAGTTTAAAGTTTAAACGCAATATTTGTTTTGATTGTTATTCAAATTTTCTTGTATTGTATTGTAATGACGAAAAGTCCCAATTGGCATGACTGATTTGGTGTGATTACGTCATTATCTTATTTTTTCCTTAGCTCTACCCAATAATCTGTTCTTTTCTGGTAAGTTGATTGTTCAAGTAGTTGTTGTGCAACATTATGTAACAACGAAGAACGATACACTCTTATCTAAATTTTGTGTTCATTCAAACAATACAATACATCATGAATCAATACGTAACGAAAAGAGTGTTAAGCAAAATGCATGATAGAGTAATCGAAAAGAATCAAACCTCATCGGGTCCACGGAACTTTCAAGTGCAGCAGCAATCTCCATTCTCAAACCCGCAGGCTCCTTCCTCTTGCTCTGAATAAATCCAACAAGGCCACTAGCATCCATTCTCTTACAGTAACTCCTCAACACTTCAGCCAAGCTTTTCTCGCTTAAATCCCCCAAACTCTCAATCTCAGAGATAGCAGAATCCTTCATTTCCACAATTCGAGCACCCATGCTCGATTCCCTATCGGGTAACGCATTCTCTCGATTCTGGATCTTCAGCAACGCATCTTCCGTCTTCTCCTTGAAAGTTCTGATACGAGTATCGAGGGTTTCCGATTTTTGACAGAGAGTATTGTTTATGCTAGTGAAATGGGTAGTTAGGGTTTTGTTGAGGTCAGTTATGGTTGTGAGTAAGGTCTGTCGAGCTTCGAGGTTGTTGAAGAAGGTATGAATCGGTTCAAGGTTCGTTACAGTATCTGCCGCCATGGAAATGGAGCTTTTTGCAACTGCAAATTTGTGTGGGAGAAAGAAGATATACAAACAATAAGCCTTTTGAGCCCATGTTCATATTATTGGACTTCCACAATTACTCAAACAAGGCCCATAGTCATTTATCGAAAAAGTCGAGATAATCCTGAATTTCTATTTCGTGATTTATTATTTCAAAAATAGCAATCTCCGACCCATAATGTATCGTGATTTAAACACGCACAATTCCAAAACATGTGATCGGAATTTCCACATTGTTTGGATGGTTGTTACGTATTGTTTCATAATGTATCGTATTGCTCATATTGTATTGTTTTAATGAATACAATATTTTAATAGATTGTATCGTTTTCCGTCGTTATATAATGCCATACATCCATAACCTGGATGGTAAACGTATAAGAAAAGTAGGTACGAAGTAGATCTACTACGAAAAAGGTAGGAAAATAGATGAAATATGATTTTATTAAATAATGCATAAACACAAAATGAGAAGAAAATATTAAGGTAACATGTCATCGCACCAAATTAATCGTTATATAAAATAAGCTCTTTGTCGTTACCTAACGATGAATTTAAATAATACAGTCAAATCAAATCTCTATCATAATAATTAATTTAATATAATCACATATTATCTTAATATTTTCTTCTCATTTTGTGATGATATATTATTTAATAAAATCATACAACACATAATCTAAAATTGTTCAAAAGCACAAATGAAAAGAAGTATTACTAAAATTGTTTAAAAGAATAAGACAAAATATAGTTAGAGTAGATTATAATAAAGAGTCAATTACTTTTGAAGACTACCAAAAATTTAATATATAACAATGATAAGACAAAAGTGTCAACAATATTCTCATCAACTTTGAGTTTCTCAACTTTTTTTAATCAATATTTTAAAATTTACCGTCGCAACTAATTTAAATTCATATTATAAAAAAATTACGATTAAAATTTTAAATTTTGATCGACACTTACTCATATAGTGAATACATATAATTAATTTTTATTATTATGTATTTTCTTATACCTTTCATTAAAGATTTTTTACTATATTTATTTCAAAGAAATTTTAATGTCATAACTTGAACTTAGAAAAATTATTTATCTAGTTGTCTAATATATATATATCATTTTCAACTTGCAACAATTGCTATGAAGTGACAATTTTTGTAAGTTATACCTTAGTTTATAGTTAATTCTCCTTATCACATTACTTATTAATTAATATGATGTTAATTAATCAATCAATCAATTTATATGATGATGAGTTTTGTAGTTGTATAAAATCATCAATATTTTATAATAATATCAATAATATATATGATACTAATAAATCTTTAGATATTTATTTCCCATGGAGAAAGAGATAACAATTTGTTTATTCACTATGTTGAACGCGATATATAATAACAAAAAAATTCAAAATCATGTGATTGTTTAACGTCAAAATATGGTGAAATATAATTTTTATGTTTTTTTACAAAAAATTTACATCTCGTTCTACGATAATAATTCATAAACACATGAGATAAAGTTTGTGTGACAAGCTTGAGAGTACACGTGACGAAGAGAGTATGTAGCATGCTTTGTTCACCGAGGCATAATTAAGTACACGTATGACTTATATATAACAGTATAATTGTATATCATCAATGTATAATCTATGTATATTGATTATGAATAATTCAAACAATTTTATATAAAGATTCATTAAAAATATCTTTAATATAATAGATATTAAATCTTCTTTTAACTTCTTCGAACAACTTATTTATAAATGAATTCCCCCCTTATTAATTCTATATTAATTCTAGTGATATACCTTAGATTCTCAAGCAAGGGTGCCTACAAAGTACCTAAATTTTTTTGTATTATTATGAATATAATATAATTATTTTCCACTTGCAGCCACTAAATATATATACAATTATTTTTCCCATCAAACACACACCATTATTTAGTATAAAAAATGAAAAAAGAGATTTTATTAGGTCGTGATACAGTAACAAAACTATTTCATTCTCAATCAGAAATTTTTGAATTGAAGAAAAATTTTACTGGGAGTATTACTCCTGAATTAATCGAATAATATAAAATTCAAACTAAATCAAAGCTTTAATGCAGAACTCAGCCGATGAGAAATATAATTTTATTAAAATCTTTTTTTAATTCTTAATTATATTTTTATGTTTTTAAAAACAGAATCGTATAACAACAAGCAACTTCCTAGTCAAACAACCTAGACACAGTTGTACACAGTTTTGAAGAATCCAAGTACTCTACAACTTTAATTTATTTATTTTTTATACTTACTTGCAACTTACCAACAAACAAACAAACAAATAATAATAATAATAATAATATAATTCTTTTTTAATATTAAATAGATATTTTGAATTTAAATAGCTTCATCTAAAGAAAAAAAATTCATGTAACAAGTGGTGTGTTTATGCAAATAACCCCTTTTAGACCATCGGTTATCATTTATCATATAGATTTTGTCCCTAATTTTAGAAGTCGTATAAATAGAGCTTTTATAAAATTACATCATGATAACGTTTAAATGTTAGATACAAATCTAATTATATTTATTTATATATTCTCAATTTTATAAATAATATATAAGACAAATAAGGTCATCTAATATTTACAATAACTTGATAGCTTTAGAGTTTAGAATATAGTTCATATTCCTAAGATTCAGAAGAAATAATTAAAAAGTTCATGTACTAAATAACTATCTCGAAAAGAAATAACATGTGAACTTTTTTTTTGGTAGAAAGCAAACACAAAATATATAACGCGAATTTGAATTAATCGACAGAGTTAAATCATATGCTTCAAGAAAGATCCAACATAATAATTTAATATATAGATTAGTCATAACAATAATGGTTTAATAAATACAAAATTACAAAATGTACTAAAAATTGTCACCATTAAGGTGGCCTCATGTGTAAACGTGTCAATCTATTTACAGGTATTTTTTTTTTGTTGTACACATTAATAATTATAGCTTGATTGATAGTGATTAAAAATTAAAAATTAATTTCCAATTTTGTCCTCCTTAATTTTCCTCTATATATATCAAAAATAAAATCAACTTCACTATAGAAGAGCAAAAAAACAAAACAAATTTTTTTTTTATATAGAGAATTTCAAGAAATGGCAATGAAAAATCAAGAAAATGTTGGGATTTTAAAGAAATTTCCAGAAGCTTCTAATAAAATGTATTCATTTGGGAGTAATGTGAAGAAAATAGCTAAAGAAGATCCAAGAAAATTAATTCATTCAATTAAAGTTGGATTAGCAATTGCATTAGTTTCATTGTTTTACTACTTTGAACCATTGTTTGATTATGAAGGATTTGGTGTTTCTTCAATGTGGGCTGTTTTAACTGTTGTTGTCGTCTTCGAATTTTCTGTTGGTAAGTTTTTACCATTTAAATCGTAAGAGTTTAATTAATTTCACGTAGGATCATTGCATATATAATAAATGGAAGATTATTTGAAATTAGCTATGAACTTTGTCGTTAATTTTTGTTATATTACTTATATACTTTTTTTTTTAATAATCTGTTTCTAATCTGTTGCTAAATAGGATTAACAACGATTTTGCTATTTAGTTACATAATTTATTCATCACTAATTTCTATAGTGTTTTTAATCCCTTCTCACGAGCTCTCATGTTTGCTTTGTTGGTGACTCGAACTCGCGATCTGAAAAAAAAAATTGTTATCATAATTATTTTATTTTGTTTAAAGAGGTTATGAATTAATCACTCTTAACTTTTGTCTAAATTAATTTAATTTAATTTTATTAGGAGCAACACTTGGGAAGGGAGTTAATAGAGGATTTGCAACATTTTTAGCTGGTTCATTAGGTGTTGCAGTTCATAGACTTGCTACCTTTACAGGGTCAGACAAATTGCAACCAATAATACTTGGATTATCTGTTTTTTCGATAGGTAAAATCGACGTTTAAATACTGACGATGGATATATTTTAGATTTAATATTTATTTGTATAAGTATAAATGTGTAAGTACTTTCTATGTGATTAATTTTGGTGATTGGATTAAACAGCTGCGATAGCGACTTTTTTGAGATTCGTACCAAAATTGAAAGCGAGATATGATTATGGCATTCTCATTTTTATTTTGACGTTCTCAATGATATCTGTCTCGGGGTATCGAGACCCTGTGGTGCTTGATAAGGCGATTACCCGAGTAACTACGATCCTCATTGGGGGCGTGGCGGCGATCATGTTTAATGTGATTATATACCCGGTATGGGCCGGTGAAGATCTACACAATTTAATTGCCACAAATATTGAAGATCTTGGAATTTCTCTTGAAGGTCTGTCATCTTTCTTTTTAGTTCGTTTAAAAAAATTATTTATAAAAATATATAGTATAACAACAAATTCAACATAAAACCAATAATGTGAATAAATGAATTCAACTCTAAATGCATTATTGAAAAAAAGTAAATTTCAGATCTAACTCAATTTCTAAATTATCTTATTCCCTTATAATAAGACCAAAATTTATTTTTTTAAGCCATGTGTGACATTCTAGGTATCATCAAAATGTTGTCCTCTTGTCAAAATAAATTATTATATATATAAAATAAATATAATTATCATTTCGAGCGTATTAAAAAATTGTTAGATGTTAAACAAATCAATGTTATGTGTACCAATAGCTACAAATCAATATATATATATATATATATATATATATATATGATTTGATATGATAGACATAACTTTGTGTTCGTAAAATTATACTGAATATTTTATTTATATGATTTGATATGATAGACATAATTTTTGCGCTCGTAAAATTATACTGAATATTTTATTTATTAAATTTTATTGCATTAATTTGTAGGATATGGAACACAATACTTCAAGAAAATAGATGTGAAGTCTGAAGAGGAATTAGAGAGAATATCTCTTAAGGAATACAAATGTGTTGTCTACTCAAAAGCTAGTGAAGAAAATCTGGTTAGTCAAAAACAAATTATTATTTAATTAGCTTATTTTGTCAATTTTTTGAGAAGTTAAAAATAAAATTTTAATAAATGAAAAATTAATTTCTATATAGAAAATTCTAATGACAATTACAATTTTGTCCCTAATAGGTCAATTTTGCAAAATGGGAGCCACATCATGGAAAATTCAGATATAGACATCCATGGGGTCAATATTTGAAAATTGGAGATCTTGTTCGTGAATGTGCCATTAAAATCAATGCTTTGAATTCAGATCTTACCTCTTGCAATATGGTAATCATACTAAACACAATATATTTATTCGAAAGAAAAACAGTTCGATACATGAAACTTTTCATGTTTATTCAAAATTCTAACAGGTCTCACCCTAAGGGGTGGGGTGTGATATGGATACATCATATCCTAACACAAGCATTAGTGATCGACATAAGTCGCATAAAGACAATTTAACTATTGGTCCAAGGATCCCCTTCTTATATACACTATCAATATACTTCACATAAGCGGAATATTGTGTGAAAGGGAGTCTTGAAACAACAGTAAAGTTTTCAGGGTCAATTGAACCCCTTTTATTGAATAATTACACTATATAGCTAGATAGAAAAAATTTAATTATTATATTTTTTTATTGAATCCCTAGCTCCACCGTACCACTAAATCAACCATTGATGATTGTGTTAACTGGATCACAACCTTTCAGATTTAATTTGACTGTTTTTTCAAACCCTACATGATTACACGAACGTGAAATGTTTTATACACCAGCTTATGTACTATCGGTGTATAAAACTTAAACCAGATGTCGATTAATTTATGTTTAATTATTTTTTTTTTCAGACACAAGAAGGAAGGAAAATAATTCAAGAACCATGCACAAAGATGAGCATAGAGTGTGGTAGTGCATTGAAGGAAATAGCAATGTCAATGAAGACAATGACACTTTATCCAACAATTGATTCACATATTCTAAAAGCAAAATCATCATCTGAAAAACTAAGATCCATAATTAGAAATGGTGATTTAATTGAAGAATTAGAGTTGCAAAAACTACTCCCATCAACAAGAATTGCTTCACTTATGCTAGACATAGTGTCAAATTCAATAGAAATTGTGAACTCTGTGAATCAACTTGCTACACTAATGAAATTCAAGATTTTGTCATCAAAACCAAAGAGATTAGGGAGCAAGAGTAGAATTCCAAGTGGAAATATTGGAGAAGCACACCTTGTGGTTAATGTTGAGTGAATAAGGTCAAAATCGTAATCTTTGAGAATCAATGAAACTTCAAACAGTCTGAAACTCGATAGATGAATAATGGATATGTATCGTTTATATATACCATTTCACACTCATTAAGTATATAAGGTTTTCGCTTATATGACAAAGTTTGAACTAGTGACGTACGTCTACCTCATACATCAATTATGAATTTTTTGTTGTTAGACCAAAGGTTGAGGGGTCATTGTAAAATGAGGAGATGGTATGAAATGAAATATATAATAGTTCGTAAATTCATGTTAAAAGCTCGATAGATGGATAGTGGATATTTTTATTTATATATTTATACTTGACTAAATATCAAAATCTTGTTTACGTAATAATGATTTGAATAATTATATATGGCTAACTCATACATTAATGACATATTGTTATTGTAAATAGAGTGATCTAGATGGCATGAAATGCAATATAAATTACTTGTGAGTGAATAAGGTCAAATTGTAATTTATACTTTGCATTCACAAATATATATATATATATATATATATATATATATATATATATATATA